CACATCCCATTTTTGTGAAAAATGGGTGAAAAATGGGATATTTTTTGTAAAAATGGGGGCATTTTGGCCAACTTTGCAGGCTTCAGCAGGGCTGGGGGAAGGGAAAAATGCCCCTGTTTGGTGAAAAATGAGTGAAAAACAGGTCATTTTTCAAAACGAGGGTGTTTTTGCCTTCCTCCACCCCCCAGGAGCCTTCTGCAGAATTCAGCAGGGCTGAGGAAAGGGAAAAATACCCCATTTTGGTGAAAAACTGGGGCGCTTTTGCCTTACCCCAGCCCTGCTGAAGCCTGCAGAGTGTTCCTGGGGGCAGGGGAGGACAAAAACATTTTTCTTACTTTCCTCTTCGAAATTCTGGTGCGTCTTATACACCGATGAGTCTTATAGTCCAAAAAATATGATATTTATTTAGTTAGTTTGTCACTCATGTACAAGATAAGATTAGGAATGGGGTGAGGTCAACAGTAGACAAGTTTAAGGTTAAAGTTAGCTACGATTTGGTTTTCCCTTTCTCTCAATCTCCCTAAGTATTAAAACCTAACTATGTATCTTCATCTTTTATGTAGCTTGAAGGCCCCATTGAAGTTATTCACCAGGCACGAGCTTCCACAGACTGTAAAGGAGGAAAGTATGATCTGTCATTCAAACAAGGAGATCTAATTGAAATACTTCGCGTCACAGACAATCCAGAAGGAAAATGGTTAGGAAGATTAAAAGGCTCATGTAGGTATACTGTGGAAATTAAGAAAATTCATGCCATCATAGTGATTAAAGAACCTGAATTTTCCCAAGAATATAGTTCTTGTATCTCTGCATTTGCTTCTGGGTGGTGTACAATAAAACCAACAATTGAAACATTATAAAACCATTTTAAAAATGTAAATACTTAAACATAAATAAGAACAAGATCAAAATCAAAATCAGAATGTTATACATGGGGAACCAAGCAGATGTGGGTTTCTGCCAGTTCGGCCCGGATCAGAAAAAATGGTAGTGGCAGTGCAGGAGGCTCCACCCACTTGTCCGGATGCTTCTGCTCATGTGCGGAAGCTTTACACAGGAGCGCACACGAGTGAACCGGTAGTAAAATAAATTGAAACCCACCACTAGAGCCAAGGGACAGGACTTTGAGGGTCTTCCAGAAGGCCATAAGGGTTGCAACCAACCTCACTTCAGGGGGAAGTTTCAAAGTGACATGACAGAAACAGTTCATCTTCTGGGTTCCCTCCTTAACTGTGAGGACCCAAAACATACCTCTTTGCTGTTCTCTCCTGCCATATTATTGCTGTTCTTGCTCACTCCACTTCTAGAATTGTGATAAATTCTAATAGCAATAGCACTTAGACTTATATACAGCATCACAGTGCTTCACAGCCATCTCTAAATAATTGACAGAGTCAGCCTATTGCCCCCGACAATCTGGTTCCTCATTTTACCTACCTTTACTGAAAGATGGAAAGCTGAGTCAACCTTGAGCCTAGTGAGATTCAAATTGCCAAATTTCAGGCAGCCAGCAGGCAGCAGAAGTAGCCTGCAGTACTGCACTCTAACCACTGCGCCACTGCTGCTCTTGGTGATATGATTATAAACATTTGAGTTTTGTTGGTGATGAATGATATTGATAGCTTCATTCATCCATCTTAGACATGGACTCTAACCATTCAGACAGAACAAATGCATACACTGGCTCACAAGTGGTTACTCCCAAATCCCTCCCTTTCTCTTCAAGAAGGAAATGGTTTGTCCTTCTAAAGCAGGGTGAAACATCTACCCTTCACCTCAGATTTAAGCTAGAATTTGCACAAATCACATATTGGTAAAAGACACAGTTTCAGCAGTTCTTTATACTTTAGAGAAATAGGAAGATGCTACCCAAGAACTGTACTCTTTATTTACTATATGAACGATCATGTTTATATCTACTCTGATGTTTATTATATTTATACAAATCATAGCTATTATGTGTTGGATGCTTCTTGAGATCTCAGATGAGCTGAACCATCATAGCCTACAATCTTCCCAAAATCTTTTTATGGGAGATTCTGTTACGGTGTTCTTAGAAATATTAATAACTTTATATTTTTTAACTTCCTCTACAATGTGAGCACCAATTTTTGCTTTTTTTCATAATAAAGTATTGTCAAAAGTTCAAAGGAGAGATTCCTTTGTCTTATATTCCTTGTACTACAGTTGTAGGTGGACATGCTACAGAATTAATTTTATTTTTATCAGCTTTTCTTTCAAGCCAGTATAATGCATATATTGTGGATTATCTTCATATCTCACATGCTGGGTTTAAGAGGGGCTGTTAGGCTAACATTTGGTATTCATAACATTGTACCTGGACTGTCTTCCTTCAGATTACAGATGAGAGGTTACATAATGGAAAAAATATTATGTACAATATTTATAGAAAATTAATATAAGAAGGAGAAAGATCCTAATTTTGTTTTTCCTGCGATAAATTTGATTTCCATGTAGTGTGTCTTATTTATTTCTCTATGGGGAAAACATAAACCAGAGAATCCTAGTACTGTCCAAAATCAGATTTATAATCTCATTGAGAGTAATCTGCAAAACAGAGCAATTCTTTTTCTCATTCGGGTAAGGCATATTCTGCATCTGTTGAATTAGTGGGATATTTCGCTACCTCTTTGTTCTATACCGCAATATATTTTGCTTGATGATTTTTCAGTTGTATTTTTTTTATACCGAAGCAACCATATCACCAAATGATATTTGTTTTAGATGGCTACATCAAAACTACCATGGTGGCAATTGACTACGATACATTAAAAAAGAGGCCACGGCCTCCCGTGCATGTTCAGGCAAAGCAACCAGACAGTGATCAAGAAGTGTACGATGATGTTGGAGACCAGGACAGTATCAGCAGGTATGTCACAGATTTTTGAACAAAGTGATGAGCACCATGTCTAACCCCTAAATACTATCACCAATTCTGGGTAGTCCATCCTCTTGTGCTGATTCATCCCCTCACATGTTTAGACACTCCCCAACCTGTTTTTTTTCCCCTAGAGGACTATAACAACTGTACAGTACTGTTGCCATTAAAATTTGCTTTAAAATTCATATTTTAATTCCAAATGGAATACGTTGGACGCTGACATGTAACACTGCTGTAAAGCTGACATGTAACATTGCTGTAAAGCAAGTTTTGTCCTTTGAATCTGGATTGTTGCACAGCCTTAGTTTACTTTAAGGCAGTGGTCCTCAACCTGTGGGTGGGGACACCTTTGGGGGTCGAACGACCCTTTCACAGGGGTTGCCTAAGACCATCGGAAAACACATATTTTCAAACAAATATGGAAAACATAAAATAATTTTATGGTTGGGGGTCACCACAACATGAGGAACTATATTAAAGGGTCGCGGCATTAGGAAGGTTGAGACCCACTGCTTTAAGGAAACATGTTATATCTGACCCAGTCATTAAAACAGCCATTGGCTAAGTTTGCATAGCACATTGGCTAGAATGTAACCAACTTTGTGCCAATTAATCTGTAGAATAAAACCATGGGTCAGTTAAACATCTGTAAGTATGTTGCACAAACAAAGCTATTCTGTATGGAACAGAAGGGACGCATTGGCATAGTGGCTAAGATGCTGAACTTGCCGATCAGAAAGGTCGGCAGTTCAGTGATTTGAATCTCTAGCCCTGCATAACAGAGTGAGCTCCCGTTAACTTGTCCCAGCTTCTGGCAATCTAGTAGTTCAAAAGCATGTAAAATTTCAAGAGGAAAAATAGGGACCACTTTGGTGGGAAAGTAACAGCATTCCGTGTGCCTTCAGTGTTTAGTCCTGTCGCCCACATGACCACAGAAACGTCTTCGGGCAGCGCTAGCTCTTTGGCTTTGGAACAGAGATGAGCACCGCCCCCTAGAGTCGGGAATAACTAGCACATATGTGCGAGGGGAACTTTTACCTTTACCTATAGAACACAGCACCCTTATATCAACCTGTGACAGGTTCTTGAAATTCCTAAGATCACTATTGGCCCAAAAAATATTGTCATTTTTCTCAAGAAACAGTTATAGAGATTAGCGACAATATGAAAAGAATTTATGAGAGTGATCAACCCTTAACGTGACTTTGCATGTATGTGAAAATGTATCTGGTTTTCTTGGCATTCAACATTTTGTTTTTCTTTGTTCATTTTATGGGTAAAGTGGAAGTCAGAGTACCATGGGAGGTGAGTTCCCTTTTTTATTAAAGTCTTAAAATAATAATTACCCATATTTTTGGAGTATAAGATGCACCTTTTTCCCTCAAAAAAGAAGCTGAAAATCTGGGTGCGTCTTATACACTGAATACAGCATTTTTGCCTCCTGAAACCCTGCCCCTTCACCAAAATCGTCATGCATAGCTTGTGGGAGGTTTTCAGAGAGCTCCCAGGGGCTGGGAGGGCGGAAATGAGCAAAACCTGGGCTGTTTTTTGCTCAATTTTGCCCCTCCCCAAACCCTTAGGAGCACTCTATAAGTTTCCTAATGCTCTTTTTTTTGACAAAAAATGGGCTCTTTTTCACAAAAAAATGGACTGTTTTTTGCTCGCTTTTGGCCCCTCCCCTGGAACACTCTACAAGCCTCCTAAGGGCTATTCATGCCCTTTTTTTGAAAAAAAAAACGGGCCTGTTTTTGGGAGGTTTGCAGAGTGCAAAAAACTTTTTTTTAATTCGCCTCTTCAAAACCTTGGTGCGTCTTATACTCTGGTGCATCTTATACTCCAGTGTGTCTTATACTCTGAAAAATATAGTATCTCCAGCATTGTATTGTTCTTTTGTGATGCTGTTTTTAACAATGGAAACTAGAACTAATCCATGTGATGCATAATCTGTATTTCCAATAATGCCTTTGGGCCCCCACATAGATCCTAGAGCAGTGTTTCTCAACCTCGGCCACTTGAAGATGTCCGGACTTCAACTCCCAGCATTCGCTGGCTGGGGAATTCTGGGAGTTGAAGTCCGGACATCTTCAAGTGGCCAAGGTTGAGAAACACTGTCCTAGAGGCATTCTTGGAAAATAAAAAGGTGGATAGTTATTGTGCAAGGCTTTGTTTATCTTTAGGTATATGAGGCAATTGTGATTGACCAAACAACTATTATTGTCCTCAAAAGGTTGGAAACCCTTCAGTTTTAGTTTGTTTGTCAGTATTCCAGTATGACTAAGCTGTGATTTCTACATGTTAGGCAATCAATGATTTGCTTAATAATGACTGACAGAATTAACCCCAAATGTCTGAATTCACACAAGATCCTCAACTATAAACAATGGATTACCAAGTAACGAGTAGTTTAGAATGGGAGCAGCTCCATCTTAAGAAAGTAATCTCAAAATAAGATGATGCCCGTAACAACATTTCAGTAGTTTTATTTCACAGTAAAATGATGAGTCAAGTTTATAACAATTGTAAAATGCCCTGTTTATACAAGAAAAAAAGATCAATCAGTTCATATATTAATGCTTCCTTTACTAAAATGTTTAGAAAATCAAAACTTCTTTCTCTGACTTCCTGTCACTGAACACCAACCAGTCAGAAAAGCTTGCCCTGTGCTAAATGTTCAAAGTAAAAACCTTTATTCTTTAAACAATGAGTATAAAATAAAGCCCCTACTATAATCGTCATGTTTGTTTTAAAACTAAATAAACGTTAACTTCTTTAACAATACCTGCAAATGGAGAGAGCTAGTAACTACTGAATCTACAAGCTACAGTATATTACTCATGTCATCAGGTTTTTCCCAGATATTTATTTAATGTGACTTAATCTAGTATCAAATCCATCCAAGACATTCCATTGCACAGGGGAGGACCAAGGGACTGCTAATTCTTAACGGACAATAAGATGCCATCTTTGATTTTATTCCTTTAAAGAACAGCATTCTTTTCTGAGTGGGAATGATGAGATCTGTAGTCCAACATGTGTGGAAAGCCCCAGCTTAGACAAGGCTGAAAGATTTCTTCTGTGAACTAGGATATCTGTCCTTTTTAAATCTGAACTCAGTGAGATCTACTTCTGAGTAGAAATGTATTGGGTGCATGGTAAATAACCTTAAATGTATTCGGGTATATGTATTTATATTTTAACTGTTCTGTTGGTATTCTTTGTATTTATAAATTCTTGTTTCATAAATATTACTCCCTATTTCTTCTCCTATCTCCTTAAAATAGGGTTTCCGCCACCTCCATCAGATGACATTTATGACGGTGTAGAAGATGATGAGATTCCAGCAAAGTAAGTATGAATTATCCACAGAGTGTTAGTTCAAGATATAAATGTGTTAGGAAATTAACAAGTTACACACTGGGTGAATTTTGCAAGTTGTTGAAAATGAAATTATAGAAGTGTTCATTGATAAATTGGTTTCTGAACTCAGTCCTATGAATATTTCCTTCACCAAGTCCCAAGGAATTAATTGACATTTCCTCCTATGTATACAGGTTTAGGACTGGGCTAAAGTCATGAGTCATGTGTGATTCTCTTCTTTGTTATTATTGCTGTTGTTGTTGTCATCTTAGCCCATTTCATGCACTATAGAACAACTAATCTCAATGTACCTTCATATGGACACTCAAGAACATTACTTATGTTTTCAAATATATCTTAGTTGATCCACACATTATGTTGGGATGTATACTTTAAACATTCAAGAAAACTATATTTCATATAGCAAATTATGGTGTATAACACTGATAATGCTAATGCTTCCCATAGCAAAGATAATTAAGGTATGCTAGCCATATTATTAAACATATGTATTCAGATGTATTTGTCTGCATGCACAATAGGCACCCTTCATTAGTTTATGGCAGGAAATATATTTGTACAGAGAGAACAAATTTGATTTACCTCTGAGGAGAACTGCCTAAAGTGTTAAACTCACCAGCTTCAAGATTGTGTGAATTTCAATGCCCAGAATTCCCCAGAGAGAACTCCGGGTGTTGAAATTCACACATCTTAAAATTGCCAATGTTGAAAAACACTGCTCTAAATAATCTGCAAGTAGCTCCCTGAATACGTATTTCAATTATTCAATTAATTCACTAGGCCAAAGTACTTGCTAACATTTTTTTTATTCTACTATGTAATAATTGTGTGCATACTTCAAAGATCTGTGTCACAGGATGAAGAGAAAAGTGACACCTGGTCCAAGGGGCTTTTGAAGATTTTAAAGGGAAAAGATTACCAAAAGAAAAGTATGCGAGAGGCACCATCCAAAGTCAATGTGACAGAAGATGAAAATTCCTTGTAAGAGACTGCTGTGAAAAGTAACACACGCAAAGCTCACTAAAGCTAATACCACGGATTCATTGATGATTGTGCTCTACTAACCACTTCTCACAGCAGCCTAATAAGCCACAAATCAAATATGCATAAGATAACTCAAGCTATGAAACTACTACTTGACTAAAAAGCTGGGCCTTTCTGTCAGTGACTTGATAACTTTTAACTATCATGGTTGTATGATAAGAGGAGCATTTTTTCTATGAAGCAAGGAGAGATGAATAACAAAATAACAGTGTTGGGAGGAACCTTGTAGGTCAGTGATGGCTAACCTTTTCCTCCTCACGTACTGAAAGCGTGCACATGCCCACATCCATAATGCAATGAACACATGACACCTCCCCCGTGTGCATGCACATGCAACACTTCCCCACATGTCCCCCCACGCATATGCATGTGACCTCCTATACCCCATTTTGGGCCTAGCATGCCTCCCTGAAACCTCCTTGGACCAAAAATAGAATATGGGGGAGCGCTTCTCCGCCCCGCCTCTCCCTCCCCCCGTGCATGCGCATGCATTTCCTGCATGCACACCAGAGACCCAAAAATCAGCTGGCCGGTGTGAAGTGCACATGCATGCATGGTGGCACTGAGCTGGGGCAACAGCTCACATAACTGCAGAGATGGCTCTGCATGCCACACGTATGCCATAGGTTCACCATCATGGTTATAGGTCATCTACTCCAACCCCCTGCTCAAGCAAGAGACCCTATACCATTTCTGACAAATGGCTGTCCAGGCTTTTCTTGAAAGCCTCCAGTGGGTGAAGCACCCACAGCTTCTGAGGGCAAGTTGTTCCATTGGTTGATTGTCAGAAAACTTTTCCTTATTTCAAGATTGAATCTCTCCTTGATCCGTTTTCATTGATATTTCCTTGTCTGGCCTTCAGGTGCTTTGGAAAATAGTTTGTCCCCTTCCCCTCTGTGACACTCCCTCAAATATTGGAATATTGCTATCATGTCACCTCTGATCTTCTCTTCACTAGACCAGCCATGCCCAGTTCTTACAACTGCTCTTCAAGTCATATAGTTTAGCCTCCAGGCTTCTAATCATCTAGATGGCTTCTATTGAGAACAGATTCATGGTACCAATCTGGGTAGCAGAATTAGGAGCAGGCAGATCTGACCTACTGGAATCAAAATTATTGGCCTTGCATAGCTCTAATTCACATTAGCTGGGTTTGTCCGGGAAAACATACTGGTATAGTGTGACTCCTAGTGGAACAATAACAGTGTGGATTTCACAGGATTCCACAGATAAATAGGAAGCATTCAACAGCATGCTCCTCCTTTTAATTATATTGCTTTAATAGCAACAGTGACAATAATATATTGCATTTATGTAATACTTTGGAATTGTTTAAAATCCTTTGACATATTTCAGGCCAAGGTATTTATTTGAGTGGTATAATAGCTTTAGAAATAGAAGTCTATTTATAGCCAAGAAAAGTTCACGTGTGAAATAGGTAGAGGTTCTTGCTATTATAATATATATATAGATGTGTTATTTAATTTTATAAAGCAAGGATGGATATTTTATGGCGCTCTTGACATTGAACCTACCAATCTTAATCTGCAGGTTCAATGACAAAATTTCAAGATGTATGCTTTATTCTTTTATATTTAGTCACATATGATTTAAAGCTGAGATAATTCTAATTCTTCCATTTCATATATTAATTAATTAATTGTTTCTAAATTTATTTCTAGAAGAAGTCCTTTAGCAAAACCAACAGGGACGGGTAAGTCATTGGATGAAATTCTTTGACTGTGGCTGAATTGAATTAGAACTAATATATCTTAGATATATTAGTTACTATATAATTACTAATTATATAGTAATTACTAACTAATTATAGTTAGTTATAATTACTAACTACTAACTAGTTACTAAATTATTACTAATAATTAGAACTAATATATCTTCTAATTGAATTAGAACTAATAAGTCTACTGCTATTGCTATTGCTATTGCTATCTTGAATGCAGAAATCTGGATAACCATGAGATGGCAGCAAAGAGATCTGAAATATTGTCGCTTTTTGCTGCCATCTCATGCTTGTGGCCTTTTGCCAACTGAATATCTTCAACTTAGTATTTCTCAAACTTGGCAGCTTTAAGATATGTGAACTTTATCTCCCAGAATTCCCCAGCCAGCTATGTTTGAGAAACACTGGTTTGATTTGTATAAATGTCATAGATACTTTCTTCTATGTAAAACATATGGATTTCTTCTTCTTCCAACTGTTATCCAACTATTGGTTAGCATATTGTTTTTCGGACAGCAATAACCACTGGTTATATCATTATGCACCCTAAAGGTTACATTAATGCCAGCAGGAAGAAAAAGTCCTACTCCATCGACTTCTCTGCCATTCATCCTAGTCTCACCCAGTTTATCCTGGTTTTTTTCTTTTTTTGGAAAAGGCAGGATGGGTCACACTGCACCCAGCCTAAATCCCTGAGCTAAGCCTGTTAGCTGCATCCTCTTGCTAATACAATACTGTTGTAAGTTTTATCTCACAAAACATATTGGAATTGTGGAAAAGATGCCCTTGTTCCATAGGTGGTATTCAGCAGGTTCTGACCAGTTCTGGAGAACCGGTAGTGGAAATTTTGAGTAGTTCGGACAACCGATAAATACCACTTCTGACTGCCCCACTTCCATCTATTCTCGAGTCCCCAGTTGATCAGGAGGGAATGGGGATTTTGCAGTAACCTTCCCCTGGAGTGTGGTGGGAATGGAGATTTTACAGTATGCTTCCCCTGCCACACCCAACAAGCCATGCCCAACAAGCCACGCCACGTCCAACAGGCCGCCACACCCACAGAACCAGTAGTGAAAAAAAAAAGAATCCCACCACTGCCTTGTTCCTCCATGCTGGCCCTGAATGACTTACTTTCTAACTCAAAACCAGTTCCAGTTCAGGCAATCCCTGAGTTAAGAACATCCATCTTAAGGACAAGGCCTAGATACAAATGTACTATTGCTCAAAATGGCAGACGGTGTTCGCCTTCCTCAGACCGATGAAGTGTTAAGCCACGGAATGCTTTCACAGACTGCTAAAATTGTGTGTGCTTTAATAAACAGCCTGTGTTTAGAGCAGAGGTAGGTTGCTGCTAGTTCAGCCCGGATTGGGCAAATTGGTAGTAGCAACGGCAGGAGATTCTGCCCACCTGCCCACATGCTTCGCTCATGCACAGAATCGTCAGCGACAGTGGTGGGTTGCAGATGGTATGCCTCGGTACAGGCGTACCAGAGCCTGCCTGGACCACCGGATACAGTTCCGGTACGGTGTTCCAGAGAGCCCACCTGCCCACCTGAGCTCCTTACCTGTCTTTTAAGGCTTCCATGCTTCTGCACATGTGCATGGCGCATACAGCACCTGTGCGACGCTCCGTTGAGCAGCTGGAGCCTCGCGGAGGTGGTAAGACGCATGCGCTGCGCGTGTCCATGTGGACACCGCCCGGCTCATTCGGAATCCACCACTGGACAGCAAGTGCGTAGGAGCGCAACGAAATCATCATTGTAACTGTGAAGGCCACTAAATGAGGCAGCCGCTAAATAAAACCTCTCTGTAACACTTGTAATGTGATAAGTAGTTTGAGGCCAGAGACTGTTGAAAGGGATATTTTGGGGTATCTGCAGTCGTGACAAGCATAATGCTCCTTAGGCAACAAATACTGACAAGCAGCTTTGGACCTACATAATATTTAGTGAATTATTTTGAAATGTGTTGCTGCTTTCCAACAGTTCCTGGTTTCAGATTCCAACTCAGTGAAATTAATAACATCTAGTAACACAGTTTAACAGCAAACACAGGACACAATCCACTCCAGAAATATGTGTATACATAAGCCAGTAGTGCCCTGAAATGCATTAGCTAAGCCTTAATTAACTCAGAAGATTTCTAGACTGTTCAACACACATGTTGTTCTGTTCATTTAAGAAAGATCATGTAATAGCCTGGTTTATATTTGTCATGGCATATCATAACACACAAATTCACTGTTACAACATATTACTCAATTTACTTGGCCAGGTTTACATGGCAAATGTCATGGTAACTTTTGCCTTGCCTAAGCTTTATTTGAATGGCTAAACAATCCAGGAAACAAAAACTGGTTTATTTTTAAACTGCGAAGTTATTTGTGAAGCAAATTTTTAAGATAACATAAAGATAACGTCTTGCTTTAAAGTATGACCTTCGTCTAAAATTGAAATCCTAATTTATTATTTTTGTCCAAATTTATCACCAAACTATATGTATAAATATAACCAATGTTAATTATCTTTTTTCCCCTACAAATCTATCTTAGATACTGGAGACAGTGATGTTTACGATGATGTTGAATCCACTGACTTCCAGCTCCCACCAAAAGAAATTAGGCAAGTTAAAATAAATTAAAAAGTTTGTTTCTTTGTATTCTTTCATACAGAGTGGGGGCTGGTTGACTTGTGTAAACTAGTAAAAATAATTTGCAGTTGCAGCTAAATATACCAATGTAATGCACTGATAGGGACGTGGTGGCTCAGTGGCTAAGACGCTGAGCTTGTTGATCGAAAGGTCGCCAGTTCAAATCCCTAGTGCTGTGTAATGGGGTGATGTCCTGTTACTTGTCCCAGCTTCTGCCAACCTAGCAGTTCGAAAGCATGTAAAAAATGCAAGTAGAAAAATAGGACCCACCTTTGGTGGGAAGGTAACAGCGTTCCATGCGCCTCAGGTGTTTAGTCATGCTGGCCACATGACCACAGAGACGTCTCTGGACAGCGCTGGCTCTTCGGCTTTGAAACAGAGATGAGCACCACCCCCTAGAGTCGGGAACGAGTAGCACATATGTGTGAGGGGAACCTTTACCTTAATGTACTGATGGCTTTTTTCCCCTTTTGTTCTAATGTATTGTTTTAGCCTCGGGAAAAATATCAAATCTTTGAACTTTGGGAGGGGCAAATCTGATGAACGTGATTCACAGAAGTTTAAGAAGATGGACAAAGAAGAGAAAGATTTTCGAAAAAAATTCAAAGTAAGTATTTGTTTGATTGTATGTAAACATAAATATGTTAAATAAACACATAAGCAATCTTAAACATATCAAGGCAACATCTGATCATTCTATAATTTCCCAGCTTCGCAAAAGCCCTTAAATACTGACAAGGGATCCAGTTTGATGTTGATATTTCCTAACTCTGCTTTTTTCTGAGATGAACTCCAGAGAAAATTTATGTTTGTCTCTGAAAAGAAGCGTTATGCAATTGGGCAGGAACAATAGGTGGCAGTTGTGGCCAGGAAGATTTTTGTATAGTGACATTTTCTTTTTGCAGCAATAGCAACAATTCTGAATGAGGAAGCCCTGTGCAGTTATGCCTTACAGTAGTTACTCTGCTTGGAATATTGTAAAGTGCTGTACAAGGAGAAGTTTATTTATTTATTTTTATTTTATTTATTAGTTTGTCAAACATGTACAGGAGAGCAGGTATAAGTATAAACATGGACATGAACAAAGGAAATGAATACAAATAAATGAGGACAGTAGGACAGGGACGGTAGGCACGCTGGTGCGCTTATGCACGTCCCCTTTAAGCATTGTGTACTATGCGTAGGTCCGACGGGAGGCAACACAGTTCCAGATTGCCCAAGACCAAAATTTCAAGCCTGGTGGTGTAAGGGATTCTATTGTGAGCAGAGCAGTGGAGTATTCTTCTCGTGAAATACTTCTGGACTAGCTCAATCGTATTAATGTCAGATATACAGTGTGGATTCCAAGCAGACGAGCTGTATTCGAGGATTGGTCTGCCAAAGGTTTTGTCCGCCCTAGTTAGCAATACAATGTTACCGGAGAAGAAGCTTAGCAAAATTAGGTTAACAACTCTTAATGCCTTTTTGGCAATGCTATTACAGTGAGCTCTGGGACTTATATCGTAAGTTACAATTGATACAAGATGCAGGGATTCAGGCTCAGGGATTAACAGGTGTACCCCCAAATAGTGACTCCACTGCTTAAGAGTTGCAATGATTGCAAATTGGCTTCTATGTATAGTTTTAGATGCTGTATGTTGCCTTTAAGGTCCTACATGGCTTCAGACAGAGTGATCTGCATAGAGTTAAGTTTGACAGATAAATATGTTTGACAAATAAAATATCTCAGGAAGTGACTTCTGTATTTATCTGCCTCTGCAATTCAAAATTAATTGGGTTGATTCCCTCCAAATCCTTTCTATATCTTCTGTTAGGCAAATCTAGCTGTTATGGCTCACATGGCAGTGAATATTACATGGGACTCATAATATTGGGTCTCTCATTTTCTCTCTCTTACCTTGTAATAATTTTTTGACATAGAATAACAGATTTGGAAGGGACCTTGCAGTTCTTCTAGTCCAACCTCCTGCTTAGACAGGACACTCTACACCACTTCAGACGAATGGCTATCCAACATCTTCTTAAAGACTTCCAGTGTTGGAGCATTCACAACAGTGGTGAGATTCAGCCGGTTCGCACCTATTTGGGAGAACCAGTTGGTAATTTTCTAAGTAGTTCAGAGAACCGATTGTTGGACGAAATTTCCTTTTGTTTTTTTTCCCACTTTACAGGGCTAATCCTGTAAGGAAGGCAGGAAGGAAACATTCTGGTGTTGTTTCTAGCCTCATCTTTATTGCCCTGCTTATAGAAACTGCCTCTCCAGTTAACCACACCACTGAAAATTACATTGTAACAGCTAAGA